GAGTTTAACAAATGGGCAGCAACGAAAGGAAAAAAAGTTTGTGAGAAAGGATTTTGCTTTGTTGGGATTAATAAAAAGGAAAAGGGTAAATTAGAATTTAAGGTATTTGTCGGTTATCTGTGCCCCCATTTTTTAAGGAATAATACAAGGTTGTGGTAAATGTTCGGGGCAACATAATCTGGATAAATGTTTTAATTGTTCAACTCCTCTCTGCAATGATGAAACAAAACTTCCTCAAATTAAATGTTACCAACTTACTTATAATCAACAGCCTTATGTGGCGAAAGCTAAGACATGTAATCGAATTATTGACAGTTGCTATATTGCTAGGGACGTTTTATGGAGGGGTACGAAATTCTGATAGATTTTCTTTTAAAGAAAAATAATTTTAAGCCGAACAAAACTGCGGTGAATGCCCTCCAAAATTCAAAAATTGTGTAACGTGTAATCACACCGATTTGTGTAATGAGGACTCTTTACTTCCCGTATCAACAACAACGACTGAAACAAAGACAAATAGTTGGATATCTTCCACAACCACGAAAGTATCGGTCAAAAAGGAATCTACTACTCTTATTAAGGGCACAACACATCGCTTTCCTCAAAAATCTTCAGCACAGATAAATAAGCATAAAAATATTATGATGATTTTAACTCTAACTTTGATAATTTACTATATATTTTAACAAAAATTTGTTAAATCTATATTAATTTCTCGGTTAATTACAATAATAATATGTTAACGTATCGCTAGAGTGATAACTAATATACGGAAGGCAGTTAGTCACCCGTTTAAATTCGAGAGGTGTATGAGGGATGGCAATTATTTGTTAGTTTTAATTAATATTTCTATAATTCGATGGACTACAATATTTGTTAAAATTTTCAATTTGAAAAATGAAAAGTTTACTCAACCAATGTAAAAGACAGATTCTTAAAAAAATAACCAGGATTTAAAAAAAATTTTTTTTCATAAAAATTTGGCAAAAAATATGCAAATTAGTGTAAAACATTGCAATAGTGGAACATTTAAACACTATTGACTCAGAACAAATGTTTTACGGGACATCAAGAGGGATATCGGTGGATACAGGAGGCAACCATAGTAATTATACAAGTTAAGCTTATGAAGAAGCAAAAATCCGACAACATCGACACATTATTTAAAAATTGATTATTTATCTTTTGGTAATTATTATTTTCTTTTGGTAATTAAAATTATCAACCCTAGTATTTTAATGCACTAAAACTTTTGTATAATAAATTTGTATGCTAATGAAAATTTGTTAAAAGATGACTAATTAATTTTTACACAATATAAAATATATGTATTTTTAAGTCATATTTATAAATAATTACCTAATTTAATTTTCAATATTAAAAATTTTCTATTCAGTTAAATTTATTTGTAAAACATTCAATAAAAATTAATTATCATCATGTTAAATATTATGCATATTTTAATATTAATTATGATGTTAATTAACATATTTATTATGCTAAATTTTTTGGTAATTATTCTTATTATTAATTTGGCAGGGTTGAAATCCGCGTTTATTTTGGAAGGACTATACTTACAAATCGAAGGAGTAGTACTGAATAGTAGTACTATGCCCCTGATATAAAAACATGTCCGGGCTAATAACAAGATGAGTACGAATTTTGATATGAGCGTTGAAGTACTGCTCTATACATTATGAAATACGTTAATATTTATTTACTATGCAAATTTAAACATTTCAGTATGTAAAAGCTGTACATTTTAAATGCTATGGTGGTTATTTGGAATGCAGGAAAGAAGCTTGCTCTGCTACGGTATCGGAAATGGATTGGGATACAAAGACACATTTTGGAATTAAATTTTATAATTGTAATATTTGGGGAATTTTGTAATTTTGTTTCGACTTTTCATTTGCTCAGAAATTTCCCCTTTACTCTATGCATTTGAAAATAAAACAATCGAAAAGGAATAAGCTACATAGGATAAAATAAAACATCGCAAAAATTAGAATACCGTAAATTCTCTAACTGAAGCAAATGTGATTCTATTTTTCAATCCTCTTGTAGGGTGTGCTTTTATTAGATGGTGAGCTTCTATTAAAGAGTGTGCCTTTATTTAATGTTCAAAAAATTTTATACCCCCACATACATAACACAAAATAAATATTTAATTACAATCGAATTGTCATTTAAATTCAATTTTCGTTAAAAGCACTGCTGAACTGGCGGAAAAAGCGGTGCGGGACTTTTGTGCGTGCAGTACCTTGCGGTGTAAACCGTACTAGCTTGGAAAACCCCGTACCCCGACACAGTGCTTGTAATTTTTTAAACGGAACAGCATCCTGGATCTTTCCTCTTCTCTATATTACCCATGTTTCTGCCGCAAAAATTGCGCATTTTCTATGTAATTGTAGCATGGTAGAGACATTTTAAAATATTTTAAGTAAAACGTGCATGTGGAAAATGTAATAAAAATGAGCAATGCCTTGACTGTGTACCTCCAGATTGTTGGGATATTCATAGTTGGATAGCTAGATTTCATATATGTCATGCGGACCATAATGTAGAAGGATCCACGGAAGTTTGTAAAGTAGGTGTTGATAAATGCTTTATTACAAATTGGAAAGGACAGGAAGGTTTGTAGGGATCTAATATGTGGCGATAATTTTTGAATGAATTTAAGGCTTCCACCTCGCGAAAGTATTAGGTAGAACGTACGAGAATCGAGACTGATATCTCAAAGTTATTTCAATCTCTATAACCGATAATTTTTGTTCATCTATGTTCGATTTTACTTTAAATATAAAAGCATTTAAACCCCCATTCATATTCGCGAACAAAACGATTTAATATCAATTTTATATAATTAAAGGTAGATTTTGGGGTGGCTGTGGCGAATGTGATACAAATAGGCATTGTTATCATTGCAAAGGAGACAAATGGTGCAATACAGTAGATAAATTCAAAGCAGCATTTTATTGTTATATAAGAGATAATAAAGGGAATATAACACTTGGAAATGAATGCATAATCAAGAATTGCTATATATACGTTGATGCTAATGGTAAAAAGTTAATAAAAAATCTGGGTAGTACTTGGGCGGTATTCTATAATAGATGACCTGGTTACAGATTCTCTTACTCAAGTAATAGAAAAGTTCATTTGGGCATTTAATGGACTGTTTAAAGTACTTATATTTTAGTCTCATTATGCCAATAATGGTCAAAAAACAGTAAGAGATTTAAGTATATTAAACTTCCTGCATTTTGAAAGTTTGATTTACCGCTAAATACAATATGTATAATGCCTCAGAGTACCCTTAAATTATACCAAAAATTTAATTCTAAAACAAGGTAATCAATATGCGGGGTGTGGTAGATGTCCTAACGGTGATTTTGTATGCTACGACTGCAACACAAACGGATGCAATTCTAAGAATGAATACGATAAGGCATTCAAATGCTTTGAGAGTAATGGAAAGTTGACTGGTATAAAAGGAAGTGAATGCAAAAATAATAAATGTTATATAGCTTCTGGTCTTACAGGTTAATTTAAATAATTAATTTGAATAAGCAAGCAAAGCATAGTTTTATATTTAAAGAAGGCGATTTGGAAGATATACTTAAAGAGTATACAAAACAAGGTTGTGGAGATTGCCCTGAAGTAGCAGGACAATGCAGGACTTGCAACAAAGATTTATGCAATACTAAAGACGAATTTTATTCATGTTTCAGTTTTTATCATGAAAAATATAATGCGATATGCGCTCCTGGAACAGAAATGTGTTACTATGGAGAAAATGTAAAGCATATTTATTAGCATAAAATCTTGGCGGTTTTTAAGGAACAAGAAAGTATTGCTGGTTGTGGAAAATGCCCAAATAAGGATTTTGATTGTTTTGAATGTAACACAAAAAATTGCAATACGAAAGAAAATTTAAATAAGGTCTTCAGATGTTATGAGGATAATGGAAAAGCAACATCTTCGAGAGCAAGGGGATGCGACAATAAAAAATGCTATGTAGCTTTTAATTATAATAAAGGTGGATTCTAGTGATGAATTTTTATGCGCAAGAAAATTGACTAATGGTAGCTTTAATTTAGATAAGAACCGTGACCCCTTCACCACCTACACTGGACTCTTTGAACAAGGCTGTGGAGATTCACCTAAAGAATTTAAGAATAGTCAATTTGCTGTTTGTGAAAAGTCATTGTGTAATACAAGAGAATTATTTGAACAAACATTGTTTTGTTTGAATAAAGGAAAAGAAGAGAAGGAATACAAAAAGGCAATAAAACAATGTGATAAAGAATGTTTTGTCTATAGACATGGAGATGGGAAATGTATAACTATGTTTGATAATAAATATTCAAAAATAATTTTAGTAGAACAAGGTTGCGGTAAATGTCCATCCAACACAGACAAAGTTTGCAAAACTTGTAAAACTGAATATTGCAATGAGGAAGAGTTAGTCCCAGAATCATGTTGGGAAAACAACGGCAAAACATGTACAAAAACACATGGGGCAAACTGTTTTACTGAGAGAATTCTGAATAATAAATGTTTGAAATAATTTATTGATAGGGTCAGGCATGGGAAGGGATCCGTACTGTATTTTAGAATACCGTCAATAGTCGAAGCATTTTTACTTTACGGGATTTGGGGATCCGTGCGAGTTCCGTTTTATCCGAACTCCTTTGGCTCAATCTAGTTGAGAGATCAAAGGTTCTCTAGTTATCAATTAGGCAGCTCCCATCATCAATGGGCAACAGAAGTTAAAAAAACTAATTGAGAGTATTTACGTTCAAATTTACTATAAAAAATTTAATCGAATACTACACATTAAGTAAACAAGGGTTGTGGTAAATGTGATTCTACGACATGCAAAGACTGTATAGGAAATTTGTGCAATGGCGGAGATAAATTTACATATTATTGTTTGGACAAAGATGGAAGAAGTTTAAAAGAATGTGAAAAACCAGAATGTTTTATTTCTAAAGGTACAAATAATTATTTTAACGGGTCTTGCGAAGGATATTTCTATTAAATTTCTATAATGTAGAGAAACGTTTAAACAATAAGTTAAGGTTATATACAAGAGTATTGTCTTTAGCTTAGAAAATCGGTAAAGGCTAACATTTTGAATCAAGTTTCTTCCTCCCTTCTTCCTTCTTACTCTTTTTTTCTTGTCTTGAACATTATTCTGCCTTTTTTCTTATCGTTATGAAACTAAAAGAAATTTAAATTCATTAAAACACATCCAAAAAGTACTCTCAATTCAGATTCAAAAGCTGGATGTGGAACTTGTGATGAAAAGAAAATTGAAAAGTCATGCGTTGATTGTAAAGATTTAAAATGTAACTCGAAAGAATTGTTGGCTAAAACAATTTTTTGTTATGAAAAAGTGAAAAATGGAAAGACCAATGAGGGGAAAAGGCCCTGTTTGACGAAGAAATGTTTTATATCCTATGACACTAAAATTGGTAATTTTATAGAAGGAAAGGATTCCTGGGAAAATTACAAGGGGAAATTAACGTAAACGGAGGACTACGGTACTATTAATCAAGGTCGGAAATGTCTTAACAAGTCATGGAATGACCAACTCACGGCCCATACCATATCACGGATTTGAGATCAGAATATTTTTCAAATTTCCCTTTTCGCGGATTTTCTCCGTTGGCTTTTTAAATTTATTTTCGCCTTTCGCTGTTTAAAATCTGTTTCAACACACCCGCGTTATACTACGTTTGAACGAAGACGCGTTGAACGAAGTACGTTTGAACGAAGACGTTTGAACGAAAATCTTTTTGGCATTATGTTTAAATATTTTAATTTAAATTTGTCTTTTTCAAAACATAAATCTTTTAGTTGAACAAGGCTGTGGAGATTCGCCCAAAGAAGTTAAGGATATTCAATATGCTGTCTGTGACCAGCCATTATGCAATACAAAAGAATTATTTGACAAAACCTTGTTTTGTTTGGATAAAGGTTGGGATATGAAAAAACACAAGAAGGGCATAAAACAGTGTGATAAAAAATGTTTTGTTAGTAGACATTACCGTGGAGAATGTATGTACATAACAAATAAAAGTTTAAAAATTATATAATTACTATCAAGTGGTGCAAGGCTGTGGAAATTGCCAAAAAGAAGATGCTAGGTATTGCTATACCTGCAAAGAAAATTATTGCAACGAGGAAAAAAATGTTTACCAAAAGTGTGTTGGATTTACCAAAAGTAATCCGACTGATATTTATTACTGTGGTGTTAAATTTGGGGAAGGGTGTTATATGGAGACAATAGAAGGCAGAGGTATTTAAAGAAAGCTTCAATTTTTTACATTTCAATTGTAGCACAAATGGGCTGTGGAAAGTGTAAAAGTGCGGCTTGCATAACGTGCAACACAAATATGTGCAACTATGGAGTTATTTGGACCACTTTTTGTAGGACAAAAGATGGGAATGTTAGATGCATGCATGAAGATAAAATGTGTTACATTGCTTCTTTAGATGAGGGTGGAAAAGGTAAAATTAAATGTTCACTTCGGTTGTCGCGTCGAAATTTTCGCTTCAAATTTGCGGATCAGAGATTTGGGGATCGGATATTTGCGGACTTAGTCTCGTGATTTAGGAAATTTCAAAACGAAATTAGTTAGATAGAATGAATTCTTGCTTCTTGGTTTTATGGTAAGGTCTTTTAAATGATTTCTTTAAAGAAATTTTTCGATCATTGAGATTATGAGATGATTTTAACACAAAAAATTGTTAAAAAAAATTTTTTTTAATCCGGAAAAATCTTGAGTCCGCTATAGAATATTGGTAAACTCTGCCGGAGTCATCGAAAACTTAAATTTTTCCTTTTTTCATTTTAACTCGAGTGATGGGCTTCAAATTTTGGGTCCGAAAAAATCAGGTCCTCAAATTGGAACCGGTTCCAAATGTTTTTTAACAATTGTTGAAAAATTTACTAATTCTCATAAATAAATACATAATATAATAAAATCAACTTTAATTTTATTAAAGTTCCATCAATCGCTCACTTTTTTTCTTTCAACCATCATTAGGAGTGTATCGTTGAACCGGTTCTAAACCGGTTCCGGACCTATGCGTTCCAGACCTTTACTGGTTCCACGTCTCACTTCCGGAACCACACCGGTTCAGGAACCGGAACCCCCGCATCACTGTGTGACAGATATGTTTTCTTGAATTTTTTGAAAATTAAAATTTTTAGTTTTGTTTCGTTTCGCTAAATATTGGCGTTTCGTCTCTTTTTATCAATGAAACGATTTTTATGAAGTTTTGTTTCGTTATATCCAAAAAATTGGATTTTGTGCAGGTATGGTCCCCAAAATATTATAAGCTATATTAGAGACGGGCGCTGGTTATAAACGTCTTACTTTCAAAAAATGAGATAACTTAAGATCAGTGATGTTAAACCGTAACAAAAAATAAATATATTTTCAGTATTCGATTCCGGCTGTGGAAAGTGTGATGTTTTGCATCCTGAAAAGAAGTGTGCAGACTGTAATACTGGTCCAATATGTAATACAGAGGAATTTATCAACAATTCAAAGTTTTGTTTGTGGAAGACTGAAGATACGTCTAAACCTGTTGGAATGAAGAGAGTTTGTAAAGATTCATGTTTTGTATTGAGAGACAAAAATGGAAAAGGTTTGAAGATGAAAATTGGGGAAAGAAAATTGTGGCTTTTCTACTAAATCTCCCAAATCGCTCAGTATCACTCTTACTCCCATGACATAGCTATTAATCCTAGAAATACTTCTTAGTCACTTCTATTTCATTTATAACTTTCCATTAGGACTGAATCGAGGGAAGACTGAACCGATCGAATCAATGTAAGAAACCGAAATTAACTGCTCGGGACATTGGGCACTGATATCAGTTAGATTAATGTATGATCATGTGTTTTTAAGCCATAATAAGTCTTAAAGTCTCAGTGGTCCTAAAATCAGTAGAGTCCATACCGGTGTGCTCCATCTTTGGGGCACATATAAAAGACCGACTAGTGGGAACTGATTTATCGGTGAAACAATATATAAGAATAAGCATATGAATGGGAGGTGACACAGGAAATAGCAATAAATAATAATTAGAGTGTAATGATTGGGAAAATCCATTAACACATAATGCTCGCCCATAAGATCACCTTTGCTTAGGCAATCAACGGATATGCCTTACACTATCACTCTATTTTCAACAAAATTTTTAGTTAAACAAGACTGTGGCAAGTGTCCAAATAACACAGACTGTGTAGAATGTAACACAAAATATTGCAATAAAGAAAGTCTTGCTCCCAAGCAATGTTGGGGTAACAACGGGACTATATGTAAAACATCGTTTGAAACTCCTTGTTTTGTGGAGAGAACGAAGAATAACACAGGCACTGACTAAATAAATTTAAAAAATTTTTAAAAAATATTTTTAAAGAAAACAGAGGATGTGGAAAGTGTAATTCTACTTCGTGTAGAGAATGTCTAGATAATCGCTGTAATAATTGGAAGGATATTTATTATTGTAAAAGCGTTGAAGGAATTAATGGAGCTAAAGAATGCCGTAAAAATGACTGTTATATTTTGAAATTGAATAATAATAATAAAGGTAATATTAATCGAAAAACCCAATCGAAAAACTAAAAAATATAAAAATGGTAAATATAAGTACTGTAAGAAGGAGGGAGATAAAGTAGGGATGCATTAAAATGCTCGAAAGGCATCACTGGTTGAAGCGACATCACTGGTTGAAGCAGCAACCGTTAGCTCACATCAGTCTGTAGAGTATATGTAGCACCCGTACGCTATGGCAAAGGGGTAATTCTTCGGTTCGTACCCCCCACTCTATTTCCTCCCTAAAAGTATTAAAAAATGGTCAGTCAGTCTTAGGTTATAGAACCCGTCGAGCTGAGTCGAATGACACCAAAATCAACGTAATCGGACAGGATTTGACAAAGTTATGACATAAGTCGCCGACTCCGTTAGGTCTACATCATGTCATAACTTTATAAAATTTTGTCCACTCACGTTGATTTTGATGTCATTCGACTCAGCTCGACGAGCTCTTTCAAATGAGCTATTATTCATGTAAATTTTTGTATTTCAAAAAATCGCCCCTGTGGTTGTTCAATTTTCAGGGGTCTGTATCTCAGTCCAATAACCTAAGACTGTGACCATTTTTAATACTTTTAGGGAGGAAAAAACAGTGGGGGGTACGAACCAAAGAATTACCTGGCAAAGGCGTCTGTTAAACCTTACAAGAGTTTGCAGGATCGATGCCTGACCTAACTTTTACCTCGCTCTTACCATAAAGCTTGTATTTTTCAGTCAAAAATCTTAATGAATTCTATTACAACTGTGGAAAGTGTCCAGTCAACAACGAATTCTTTAAAAATACATCTAATTTATCCCTCTCCAAAAGATTGAATGGAATAAATTTAAGTGGAATTCAATGCGCAGAATGCAATAAGGGTCCTTTGTGTAATAATGAAAAGTTTTTTGAGAAGCAAGTGTTTTGTTGGGAGAAGTCGGAGAATGAAACAAAAATAAATAAAGGGGCAAGAGTTTGTAGAGATAAATGTTTTGTTTCGAGGAATTTTACAACTGGGAATGGTAGGGAATTAGTATTTACAATTATCCTCACATATAAGATGCACTCAATCTAGTGGATAAACCTCTAGCTAAGGGACGTTTCCAATAGTAAATTATTAATTAGAGGGGCCAGCCCTAAATAAGAGAGATGTTGATTATGCGTGCGGTGAATAGAATCCCAGAGGTAGTGCAAGCTAGCGGGGTGAATGATTATTGGTTAACCACTTGGTCAGGCTTATAGCCGAACGAACACTAAGCCATTGATTAATGAAGAACTAAGTTGGAATGAACATCAACTAAGCTGCTTTTCCCTATTTTCCTTTAGCTTATATGCACCTTCTCTCTAGGCGGGGTTTCTATCACTTTCTCAAGGATTACACCTTTGATCCTTACAGAGTTTTCAATAGATTCTCAAGGATTACACCTTTGATGCTTACACAATGAAGTT